CATGTAGCACAAAAAGGTAGAGAAAAAAGAAATTAAATGGAGCCCTAACGAGCATAAGTGATGAAAAACGAACAGTCATATAAAGGGTTGCTCAGATATGTGAGATTACACAGACTGAATGCATCTGTGTCATTAACAAGGTTTGGAATCACATTTCTACTTAGCACTAAGCTTAACCCCAATATTACTCATCATATTAGACTGCTTAACACAGAAGAGATGGCACAGATACTGCGATCAAAAACCAGCAGTCTTTTCATATCTTCCAGTTACAATGGTCACTCCTCACAGCCTAAGTAGACAATATCATCAGCATACACTAAGTTGACAAGACTGTTCCCTGGTGAGATCCTAAAGTGAGTGACAGACAATTCTGTTAATATATGTATGATGAAAGTGGACAACAATAAGAATGAAACTTGCAGAAACGAGCTTTGTATTTTATTCTTCTTAGAAATATCAGTTCCCTCATAGTTTAGTTTCAGTATTTGTGTGTCAGCCAACTCTCATAAACTGTCAATGTCCAGCTCTTGCTGCGCTGGATCTCACGCTGTACCTAGAAGTCTTTCAGAAACACTTTGCATTAACCAACGCGAAAACCAGAGCACAGATTGGCGACTCAAGAATCCTTTATTCTCACGCCATTATGTAACCAACAATAAGGTTATTGTACACGAGGTCTAAGAATAAATGTTGTACCAATAAATCAGGATAGTACTTCTGATAGTTTTTCTCTCCTCCAACGAACAGCGAACGGTGAGACGATGACCTTAGTATTGATGACTCCCGCGAAAAATATGGAGGAGTTGGCTTTAAGCAAACAACCATGAATTGATCCTTCAATCTTCTACTAGGTTTAGAGCGACTTTATTGCATTCCCCGCAATGACGCTTGTTGTTATGTTGCTTTTGATTGCAAGTGGCCTTGATTTTGGGGGAAGATTTAACTGATGTAATATCGCGATTCCAGGCAGCCTGTAGACGGACGTAGGTCATTTGATCAGCTGATGGATATTGGAGTTATTTATTGGATAAACGTCAAGGTTAGGTCATATTTCGATGTTTTTCACACTTTTTTACCTATATTCCTGCTTAAAGTTGATGAAATGCGGCCTATTTAGAAGAAAGAGCATATGGTGGTGTCCTTATCCGGACGTAGGTCACAGGCAGTTTACAATTTGCTGAAAATACATAATTTTTCCGTTCAGAAAATGTCTAATTACTTGAAGACACATGTTATAACGACTTTTTGTGAATTTATTTTGCAGTTTAATGGATTACACATGGACATGATGAGGTGGGATAGCTCGTTCAGGTAATTATTTCACTTACTTTGTTGTGTACTTTTCCTAATGCTGACAAGGCTCCTCCACATGTATTTCTTTAAGAAAAATCTGCAGAAATACTTAAAAATTATATATGCGTAGTATTTTCTTATTTGATGGCATAAAGTTGATGTTAGCAGGCAGATGGAATATCAACTTTGCATTATTGAAAAATGTTGACTAACATAATTATATACATTTCAAATCATTATTTTGTCATTTTAAGCATATTTAATGGTTAATTATTGTGTTTACACTGATAACAATGTTTACATCTGTATAATTCTTATGTTCTTTTTCAGATAATATCTACTTTCGGGAATTTCATGGATTTCGGTGATAAAGAAAAAGATACCTGCACTGTTGTCGACTTTGTATTACATGTTAATTCATTATTAAATGTATTCTTCGTTATTCGTTTGTTTATTCTACTTGATAAGACCGAATATTAGCCCTTGCATAATTTGTGAGGTATGGAGTATATGAGGCTATCTTTGAAATACTAAGTAGGAGCAGATATTAGGAGAAGCCTATTGGTAAAAGGTTATGTTGTAGTCAAATAAAGTAAATATGCCTAAACCGTAGAGGAGGTATTGCGATTATAAAGCGTTTCGAGCTATCTATTGTCTTAGCAGAATACATATACTGATTCGTGATTCATAGTCACAAAGTGAGAGTAAATCTACCTGAGATAGTTTGCTTGTGATTTTGGCATGCCGCAATGTACCATAAGGAGAGACTATACCTGTGCTGTTAGATGTATGACTCAGTGCAACTACGGTCATCGTAATAATTAAAAACAGAATGCCTAGGGTTCTCAGCCAAAGAACACGATACGTTGCTATCTGCACATATAATCACGTAAACAAAAGTTTTCCAGACGCCGCATTTACTCCTAACAGTTTACCCTCAACTTCTAACTTAGCACGTGCTACTTATGTTACTGGAACACAATCGCATTACAACAGAAGGAAGACAGATTCATTGAAAAACTGTTTATTAAACAAAAGTCAGATTTCAAATGTACAGAAAATTCAGATGACTATTTACCGTCAGTAAGTTCCATTTACGTACACAGGACATGTATGTTTCTCCACAAGTCTGAAAAGGTTTAAGAAAAGCATTATTAAATTGGGTATTACATGTATGATCTGAATAAAACATTTTTCCTGATAAGCATTTGCAAGTAATCACTTTACAAACAATATATATAAGTAACCAAGTAGTTTTCACTAAACTTAAGGGACTTCGCGATTTATCGTTGGTCGATAACTAGTGGGTCCATCGAAGCATCATCAAATGATGAAATTATTAAATCACGAGTTATGCAGTAGTTTCCAAAGCTAGTACAAAGATTTTAGCAAGAATGACAACGGCTTTATGACAAATAATAGGTATTGACAGCAATAATAACAATAACGTTCATGTTCGTAGTCACTATAAAAACAATAATAGGTGTTATTATAGCAACGAATTCATCATTAACAAATAATAATACAATCATATCAAATAAATGCATCACTTAATCTTAAGAAGTAGGTGTTTACTTACTTTCACTGTATTCTCTCACTACTGATGTGCTCAATTAGCTTATTCCAACAGAATTCAAGATTAATTCTGAAAGTGAGTGGAGATCCAGTCAATGTCAAATAAAAACCTGTAGCTTACACGCATTACACTGCTTACTGAGACATTTGATACCTGCCTTCTGGTCTTCGTGACAAGAACACAGTATATCCAGGTGTACCTACATATACATAAGTATATGCATATGCTGCATCAACCATATCGTTTTTATTATGATTAACCAGACCACCGTGTATATTATACTTATTTAAGGATCTCTGAAAATAATGGTCAGGGGATAATTGAAGTTGCTTGAAGTTATACCTCTTCAGAAAATTATTTGCATTCTTGACACTCCTGAGAAGTCCTTACATATTGATATGGCATGAATTCGTTGAATTCAGCAAATAAATCAGCTGGTATATCATTTTTATTCATACTTTGAGAAAGCTATTAGCATTAAATAGCGAAACGTCAGTAAAAACAACATCGTTTTTTTCATTCATTGGGAAATACAAAAAACCTTATTATTATGGTATATCATTTCTCTCCTGAGCTGTAATAGTTTGTTTTGTCAGTTATATATCGAATTTGATAAAACGCTCCTGGAAATTCAGAACTTAACCAAGCAGCTAAATGATGTTTGAAATTACCTGGACTCGAATGACAAACTGGCCAATCACAAGCGAGCGAATCGCTTGTTTATTTCATTCGCGGTCACTCAAAATTACGGCCGCCGACAGGCTGTCCATATCAACACCCGACTGGATGAGGTAGACTATTTAGTTTTGTTGGTCATTTTCACTTACATTTTTGTGTACCATAGGTGATGAATTCAAAGCTCATTCACAATTAGTTGTTTGAAAAATTAACAGAAATACTCAGGAATTATTCTCACATGTTATTTACTTCTTATACTGCACAGATTTGGTTTTTACCGGCAGATGTATGTCCATATTTTCTGCTTGAAAAACGTTGAATGGCGTAAGTGTGCTCAATTTAACTAATTATTTAGTATTTTCTATCACTTACATTTTGTATTTATAATCGTGAAGATGTCAAATGAGTAGGCCTGGATTACCGTCATTAAGTTCCTTTACGTACATAGCACATATATCCTTTTCCATAAGTCTGAAAAGGTTTAAGAAAAGCATTATTAAATTGGGTATTACATGTATGATCTGAATAAAACATTTTTCCTGATAAGCATTTGCAAGTAATCACTTTACAAACAATATATATAAGTAACCAAGTAGTTTTCACTAAACTTAAGGGACTTCGCGATTTATCGTTGGTCGATAACTAGTGGGTCCATCGAAGCATCATCAAATGATGAAATTATTAAATCACGAGTTATGCAGTAGTTTCCAAAGCTAGTACAAAGATTTTAGCAAGAATGACAACGGCTTTATGACAAATAATAGGTATTGACAGCAATAATAACAATAACGTTCATGTTCGTAGTCACTATAAAAACAATAATAGGTATTATTATAGCAATGATTTCGACATTTACATACATAGACAACTAATAGTAATACAATCATATGAAATAAATGTATCACTTAATCTAAAGTAGCATGCGTCAAATTAAATTTGTGATGCACATACAATGAACAATTTACTTTCAATCAATGAATCTACAGGTAGAAATATAATAATAATAATAATAATAATAATATATATTCTCATTTTTTACATGAGGGACGCCAGTTTACAGGCATCATCAATTCGATAATTTACACATAATATTAATAAGCATATTTAGTAAAGTTAATATAATAAAGTACATTTTTTTCCCTAGCTATGTAGGGTACACCAATTGTATAGGCATGCATAAATATTGTTTTAATAATAATAATATATTCCTTCCTGTTTATGCAGGAACATACCTATTGTACAGGCATGGATAAGTTATTATATAAATTACACATAATTTGATGTATAATGGACTTACAGTTTGGTTGTTCTTTCTGACATTAGAGTCAGTCGGAACAGTCTGCTATAAAGTCTGTTTGTGTAGCACATAAAGAGATATAGAGATATTGTCTTCGCATTAACAAAAAACCCAGAAATCACATGAATGTAATACAGATATCTGGGAAAAATAAAGCTTGAAGTCAATTCTCTTATATAACTTTGTTGTGAACAGCACCCTTGGCTTAAAGATTATTGATGTATTATATTGAGATCAGTGATATATTTATTCCATTTTTCAGCAGTCTTATCGTAGTTTCATAACAGGAAAGAAATTTGATCGTGGAGGCGAAAATTAGATAAAGTCATGCTAAGTTGTTTTACTGCATCAAATGGTCCCGAGGTCGATTCCAGAATTCTCCATTTGCTCCATTTGTGTCTGCATGGCGGACTGTATTCGTAAGTTGAGTAAGATGTTGAAAAACTATTTGAGGACCAGTTGCTTCTTCATTTCAGATCATGAATACTCATTTACGGCATGTTCGCCAGCGTCTTCAAATGGTAGAATTGGATCGTTCCTGGAATTTGATTATGAAATAAAAGGTTTGGAATTAATCATAGCAGTTAGAATACAGTTAAACATGCCGAGAAGTACTTTTGATTCAGCAACCGGTGAATTTTATATTCTTTTCGATCTGGTATCAGAATAACCGCGGACCATTCCATTAAATATGTCGAATAAGGCATGCAGGAGCAGATCATCACCATCGAATGAATCAACTTGATCTGAGATGCAGCTTTCAGCATGTTTTCGTTATATCATAAATATCCAGGTTTATTGGCGCTGTATAGGCAGTGATTTGGATTATGACGTATTTTACAGAGTCTTCGTGCCCATTTGAAGTATACATATGCTTTGAAAGGATTACTTTGTTGGCTCCTACCCCCACTGAGTGTTTACAACAGCAGCTGTGGATTTATGTATTTTGGATAAAATATCGCCGCATTCTTTTTGGGTAGGAGACCAGTTGGTGGATTATAAATGATGTTCAAGTAACTTTTATCTTTTCATGTGATGTTGCGGTAAGTTTCTAACTTGTTTTCTCATATTTCATTCGTATGTTGGTTATGGTTCGCCCTTTGTATCAGGTAGACATAGTTTGATCGACTCTTGGTTGAATGGGTGTAATTGTCATGTCTGCTGCTTTTTTGTCTGGAATTATAAATAGAGGCAAAACAAACAACAGGTGTAGTCTCTGAATTCATACATTAAATGGGCCTATGATATGTTATTACGATGGGTTCTCCCTTGACTCCTCTACTTGCAGGCTGTTTTATGTCCAGTCTATAAAATGGTCACTTAAGCTTATAATCCAAAGCTTTCAAATGTATAAAACCTATGTAGATGACACTTTTATTATTTGTAATAGTGATTGTAACCTGAATAATATATCAAATGTGTTTGATGATTGTCATCCTGCGATAAAGCTCATACTCGAAATGGAGAACGAGTCTAGCATTCATTTCTTCGTTGTGAACTTATCAAGAAGGACCGATGGAACTCTGAAGAGATCGATTTATCGTAAGCTGTTATAGAATGGTCAACTGACAAATATCTACAGCTGGGTACCAACTGGTCGAATAAGAAACCTGGTCCGGTCTCTTGCCACTCGTGTTCGGCGCATATGTAGCACTGATACTGTGGAAGATGAGTTATACATTTTGAGGAAAATCCTCATGGATTTCCACCACGTTTTATAGATAAGAATATACATTCAAAGCCTACAGAACATGACTTATCAACCGTTCCCAAGAAAATTCTTTACATGAGCTTGGAATTCAAAGGGGACTTAGCTTCCGATATCATGAAACGAAGGATATCACAGTCTTTTAAACGAACATTCCCTGCTGCATCTCTGAGAATAGCCTTTACTAGCCGACCGTTACTGTTCAGTAACCTGAAGGACAAGATCCCGCTGTTGACCAACTCTATGTGCGTTTATCAATTCACCTGCTCGTGTGGAGGTAGGTATATCGGTCATTCGACTCGAGTTTTATCCAAGAGGGTGCAAGAACACTATCCTGCATGGCTACAAAAGGCGGAAGTGGAGCAATAAGAAGCGTGACCATTGAACATCCGGTCGATAATGATCACTCTATCTCTATAGCCTCCGCCTTTAAAGTCATCTACAAGGCAAAGAGCAATCTACCCAAATCCCTACGAACCCGACTCATCTGTATTGCTGAAGCTTTGGCTATCGAAACAGAAAAGCCAGATCTCTGTGTATAGAAAAAGTTCATTCAACTCCTCCAACTTTCATTGTCTTAATCCTTCTATGCTAAAGTATGGTAATCCCCAATCATATTGTAGCTCTACCAACTTTTCAATTTTTGTCATTTTGTCTATCCGATTTGTATACTCTTCCTTATTACGTCACTTGTTACTGTTACTATTCTCGCTTTGAACTGTGCCCGGTATTATTTCACTTGTCATTCTAAATCAATTCATTTTTACAACGATAAATTCTATGCTATTAAATTTCACACAATATTACGCAACGTTTTTGTTTTATTCGATTTGTCCACCAATCCTATAATTGCACACCCTTTTTCAAGTTCTAACCATTCTATGAATTATTCAATATATGACATTAATTTGCTTTGCCACTTGACATTTGACTGTGAGTATAATCGCAAACATTTCAGTTTTTAATTGCATTTCATACTACTATTATTATTTTATGCATTCACAACTAAGATTTAATTACCTCACCGGATTTTTTGATAACGGCTTGATTTCACACTGTATTTTTGGTGCAAGTATGGAATTTTCAGCATGGATATCGCCAGCCTAAATTTTCCTGTACGCTTCAAAAGACTTCTAAATCGTCCGCCACCTACAACGTGCCCAACAATATCAACAACGGAAGCAGAACTACCAGTGAACATTGATCCCCCGACGAAATCAGAAGTCCTGAATGCAATCAAGATGCTAAAAGCTGGAAAAGCAGCACGACCAGATGGAATCCGAGCAGAAGCATTGAAAATGGACCCAGGGACAACAGCGGACTTGATGATGCCATTACTGGAGAAGGTGTGGAAAGAGGGCAAAGTACCCGAGGATTGGAAGAAAGGATACTTATTCAAACTACCAAAGAAAGGAGACTTAAATCAATGCAAGAACTGGCGCGGAATTGTGCTCCTATCCATCCCAAGAAAAATACTAAGCCGAATCATCCTGTAGAGAATCAAACAAGCCAACCTGGATGAAAAACTTCGACGGAACAAGTTGGATTCAGGAAAAACAAACCATGTATCGATCAAATCGCCACACTACGGATCATCATTGAACAAAGCTTGGAATGGCAGTCACCTCCCTATTTCAACTTCATTGACTTTGAAAAGGCTTTCGACGGCGTCGATCGAGAGGTGATTTGGCAACTACTTCGCTACTATGGGGTCCCATCGACAATTATACATCTCATCCAACAGTTGTACGACAATGCTGCGTGACAAATAATCCACAACGGGAAACTAACGGAGGCCTTCGAAGTGAGGACGGGAGTGAGGCAAGGCTGTCTACTATCGCCAGTGATCTCCTTGATTGCAGTAGATTGGATAATGAGACAGACAACGGGCAATGAGGAAACAGGCATAAAATGGACTTACACAAAAAACTTGGAGGATCTGGACTTCACCGATGATATTTGTCTGATTTCCCACAAACTGGAAGATACGCAAGTGAAAAGCAACAAGTTGGTAGAAGAAGCATCAAACATAGAACTTCAAGTGAATATAGATAAAACGGAGGTGATGAAGGTTCCCGGCCAACACCAACAACAACAGACAACAATCACCATAAATGGGGGGAACCTGAAAGAAACAGCCTCCTCTACCCACCTACCTACCTGGGAAGCGTCGTTTCAAATACAGGCAGAACTGACGAGGATATCAAAGCAAGAATTGGAAAAGCAAGACAAGCTTTCATTACCCTTAATTTTGTGTGGAAGTCAACAGCACTCAGCATCAAAAATAAGATCCTGATTTTCAACTCCAATGTGAAGTCGGTGCTATCGTACGGATCAGAGACTCGGCGCGTCATAAAGAGCAGCTCAAACAAATTACAAAACTTCATTAACAGTTGTCTTTACTCCATACCCAAGATCAGATGTCCAGAAAAGATCAGCAACAGAGAACTCTGGGAGCGAACCAACCCAAATAGGAACCGATTGTGAAACAAATAGGCAGGAAGAAATGGAGACGGATTGGCCATACTCTGAAGAAACCATCAAGTGACATCACTAGACAAGCAATTCCTGGGGTGGATCCAGAAAGGGAAGCGGCGAGTTGGTCGTCCCAGGGGGACTTGCAGGAGGTCATGTGAAGAGGAGATGAAAGCATGTGGGCAGACTTGGAGAGGGCTAAAACAGTCGGCAGAAAACAGAAAGCAATGGAGGTGCGCATCTGAAGCCCTATGTTCCTCTGGGAATTAAAGGATATAGAAATAATAAATTTTGCAAATCGAACACAGATATCAGGTGTGCGTCGTCAGGTGATCGAGCCTCGGAAATCAGCATGGTCGGCGAAAACACCAACCACTGAAACCTGCTATGATAAAAAAGCTGATTACAGGAAAGATCATAAACGGCGAAATAGTTCAGTAAGACTGTATAGAATCGACGTGCAAACTAAGCCGTAATAGATCCTAAAAACTAAAGATTAATTCAGGAGGTAAGTGGAGATCCAGTCAATGTCAAATAAAAACCTGTAGCTTACACGCATTACACTGCTTACTGAGACATTTGATACCTGCCTTCTGGTCTTCGTGACAAGAACACAGTATATCCAGGTGTACCTACATATACATAAGTATATGCATATGCTGCATCAACCATATCGTTTTTATTATGATTAACCAGACCACCGTGTATATTATACTTATTTAAGGATCTCTGAAAATAATGGTCAGGGGATAATTGAAGTTGCTTGAAGTTATACCTCTTCAGAAAATTATTTGCATTCTTGACACTCCTGAGAAGTCCTTACATATTGATATGGCATGAATTCGTTGAATTCAGCAAATAAATCAGCTGGTATATCATTTTTATTCATACTTTGAGAAAGCTATTAGCATTAAATAGCGAAACGTCAGTAAAAACAACATCGTTTTTTTCATTCATTGGGAAATACAAAAAACCTTATTATTATGGTATATCATTTCTCTCCTGAGCTGTAATAGTTTGTTTTGTCAGTTATATATCGAATTTGATAAAACGCTCCTGGAAATTCAGAACTTAACCAAGCAGCTAAATGATGTTTGAAATTACCTGGACTCGAATGACAAACTGGCCAATCACAAGCGAGCGAATCGCTTGTTTATTTCATTCGCGGTCACTCAAAATTACGGCCGCCGACAGGCTGTCCATATCAACACCCGACTGGATGAGGTAGACTATTTAGTTTTGTTGGTCATTTTCACTTACATTTTTGTGTACCATAGGTGATGAATTCAAAGCTCATTCACAATTAGTTGTTTGAAAAATTAACAGAAATACTCAGGAATTATTCTCACATGTTATTTACTTCTTATACTGCACAGATTTGGTTTTTACCGGCAGATGTATGTCCATATTTTCTGCTTGAAAAACGTTGAATGGCGTAAGTGTGCTCAATTTAACTAATTATTTAGTATTTTCTATCACTTACATTTTGTATTTATAATCGTGAAGATGTCAAATGAGTAGGCCTGGATTACCGTCATTAAGTTCCTTTACGTACATAGCACATATATCCTTTTCCATAAGTCTGAAAAGGTTTAAGAAAAGCATTATTAAATTGGGTATTACATGTATGATCTGAATAAAACATTTTTCCTGATAAGCATTTGCAAGTAATCACTTTACAAACAATATATATAAGTAACCAAGTAGTTTTCACTAAACTTAAGGGACTTCGCGATTTATCGTTGGTCGATAACTAGTGGGTCCATCGAAGCATCATCAAATGATGAAATTATTAAATCACGAGTTATGCAGTAGTTTCCAAAGCTAGTACAAAGATTTTAGCAAGAATGACAACGGCTT